AGGGAATATTTCATTATTCCAAAACTAATCGTCTATTTTTTGGCATACCACTCACCTGCCTTCCACTGTAACCCCGTGTATCTTACTATGGGACTCCGTGTATCTTATTATGGGACTCCGTGTATCTTATTATGGGACTCCGTGTATCTTATTATGGGACTCCGTGGATCTATAATCGTTGGTACCCGTGTATCTTACTAGTGGACTCCATGTATCTTACCATGGGACTCCGTGTATCTTATTATGGGACTCCGTGTATATATAATCGTTGGAATCCGTGTATCTTATTATGGGACTCCGTGTATCTTATTATGGGACTCCGTGGATCTATAATCGTTGGTACCCGTGTACCTTACTAGTGGACTCCATGTATCTTACCATGGGACTCCGTGTATCTTATTATGGGACTCCGGGTATCTTATTATGGGACTCCGTGTATCTTATTATGGTACTCCGTGTGTCTTATTATGGGACTCCGTGTTTCTTATTATGGGACTCCGTGTATCTTATTATGGTACTCCGTGTGTCTTATTATGGGACTCCGTGTTTCTTATTATGGGACTCCGTGTATCTTATTATGGTACTCCGTGTGTCTTATTATGGGACTCCGTGTTTCTTATTATGGGACTCCGTGTATCTTATTATGGGACTCCGTGTGTCTTATTATGGGACTCCGTGTTTCTTATTATGGGGCGAATGCAACTGTTCGTGTATCTCGGGATCTGGTGACCAAACAGCAGATGTCCATACGCGGCATTATTTAGGTGTTCAGCAAGAGTTTTTCCCACAGCAACTGAACTGCATTGTGATCCCATTTCACATGTCCTAAGACTTTTTTCTTTGGACCTTTCAACGCCTGGCCAAAAGCAAGTGCGTCTCTGTTTCAACGATGCCTAGGAGTTTCCTTACGAATTGTCTCTCGGGATTTCCCATGAGAAACTAATTTCTGACTGGATGGTCCACGCCTACAGTTCGTTACCTTCGTATTTTATTTTATTCCTCTGGCCCTAACAACAGACTTAGACATTTTGACACATAGATGTCTGGTGTTTCATATAGCAATGCGCTCTGGCCCCACAACAGACATCTATATGTCAAAATGTCTAAGTCTGGTGTTGGAACCAGAGGAAACTCGGGCTATGTTTTACTATACTGTATGGTATACCTGAATTTAAAATAGCAATACTAGAAGGAACAGATAAATGATGAATACATTAACCAACGATCCATTAACTAAAACATGTATTAGCTAAATAATATATAGAGTCAACGTACATTTTGTTTTATATTTTAAATTTTACAGCAAAGGGGAGACAACCCTTAGTAGGAAAACTCGTATTTGTGCAACTTTACTTCATATACGTTAAGAAAAAAACTAGCATACACATACTAAGATAGATAACTGCTGGAGAACCCTGAATGTCGATGGTCCATCTTGAGTTATAAACTTACATATATATGCTTCTCTAATTACCCACCCCCAGGTGGCAACAACAAACACCCATAGGCTGTTCACAACGCACCGGCCTGCACCAGTGATTGTTTAATTATTAAGAATAATTTCAAACAACATTTTACAACAATGTGTCATGTATATTTTAACCTACACATCTACAATGTATCTCCTAGACATTTACAACTATTTTTTCAGATTTTTTTTTTCTATACCTCCGTCCCGACCAGTGCGTTGACCTGAACTGAGGTCCCAGCAACACTTGCTACACGTGCTACACATGCCCTACAAGTGTTGGCACCTATCGGGGTACCATTAGAGAAAACAATTTCGCGCTTATTCCTTGTAGTCAATCGCGCGAAATATAAATTACATGTTTATGGTGTCAGGCCACATGGGATTGATATCGGATCGGTATGCCTACTGATTTCCTGTTTTTCTCCTGATCAGCTGATGCTTTGCGTGAAAACTTCAATTCTGGCCTACAAAGGGTTTAGGATAGACCACTAAAATATATTTCCTTTCTTAAATAATCAGCCTTTTTTCAATGTATCCAAATTAAGAATGTAATGGTACAGGTGTATGCATGTTTAAATGATAAGTTATTTTTTGTACCTTCCTGATTAGGAGATCGCCAAGGAAACTGAGACAGAAATGACTTCTTGAATTAAGACTGAATGTCCGGTAATAACTTTCTCCGAGCAAGAGGTTTTACGTTTAAATTAAGGCAATCAAACCTGTTTATACACTTTACACAAATGATTGAAATGTTTTGATGAAAATTGTTAAAATATTGGACGATGTCTCCTATGCACGGCCTCCTGACAAACGATAAAGAAAAAGTGACACTGCAAGGGTTGTTCGTTTTCTCTTTCTTGTGATTTTTCTATTTGGCTATTTTGGCCATCAACTTTTTGGTAACTAGCAATGTTTTTTCTTATTTGATGTGAAATTACCGTTTCACCTTTTTTCCCATATATAAATAGCAGAACTGGAGTGGGTCGATCGTCGGCGACCAGGAAGTTCAATTGGTAGAGCTTCGGTCTTGGTAGCAGTCTACATTTTGACAACAGCACACGACGCATAATTGCAAAAAATCAAGTTTTACAACTTTACTGGGACCCAGATAATTCTGCAACAAAGTAGGTAATCTTAATTTCAGACAGAATTTAGGAAAAAAAATACTAGTTGCAGGGGTCAAATTTTAGGTCAAAAATAGCATTTTTGGTATTTTTTGGCATTTTTTGGTAATTTTTGATGTGGTTACCATGGTTTTCACACAAATGACACACATAGAAAAAAGAGGTTTATACACTTCTCAGTACTTTATATGTATTGTAAATGTAATGCAGTTTACAAATATATATACATGTATATATGTGTTGTGTAGGGTAAATCCGCTGTGTTTACATTTCCTCGACATGTGCCTTGTTTTTATTGCTACCCTAGGCTTTAGAGGGTCCCAGATTCGGACCCCGGCCTGGTCGTTGCATTTCTCTTTCGGATACCCGAGCCTGGGTTGTAAATAGTGTTGTATTCGGGGGCAAAGACTTTGACTTATCATACAGATCGGCTCCAATAACGCACATGACGAAGTGTCAACAACTGTTTTTATACATATTAAAAAACCTTTACAGTTGATAAATCGGTAGCCGCGACCCTGTGAGGGAGAGCCGAGCGTGTCGAAAGACTAGTTTTGTCACTTGTATAATAATAATCTTTTGAAGCTCTGAGAAAATATGATCCGCTTTACTTGTTCTTAAAATCACGTTAATATACTAAGTTGTAAAAGTGTTGTTAAACGGTTACTCTATAGGAAACAATGACAGGGTCACAAGTAACACACACTCATTCTCAATAAAAACTCAATTCACGACTTGTAATTTTTGGATATTATTGATCGATTGTTGTAGACTTCGAGATAGCCAAATTTCCATTATTCTTTGATTGTAATTTTGAAGATGATTTTTCTTAGGATTATAAAATTGAAACTAAACAAAACGTTCGAAGCGGTATTTCACTTCAAGATATATATCTTATTTTCTTTGCCAAACTATTCTGGATATCAACCTTTTTCGTTGATGAACTTGATTTTTGATTAACTGGGTACGTCCAAGTCTATGTCGAAGATTCCGGATTATAGACGCCCGCTCGTCTCTATGGCAGCAATAACCGGATTGACGATGTACCGACCCTACGACTGTACGACAGTAGTGTCCGGATTCACGAGGTTTTCGCAACTGTACGACAGATATGACCGTATTTACAAGGTGTTTCTCGACTGTTTGAGAGTAGTGGACGTATTTACAAGGTGTTTCTCGACTGTTTGAGAGTAGTGGCCGGATTTACGAGGTTTTCTCGACTGTACGACAGATGTGACCGGATTAAGAGGTTTTCTCGACTGTACGACAGATGTGACCGGATTTACGAGGTTTTCGCGACTGTCCTACAGATGTGACCGGGTTTACGAGGTTTTCTTGACTGTACGACAGATGTGACCGGATTTACGAGGTTTTCGCGACTGTACGACAGATGTGAACGGATTTACGAGGTTTTCGCGACTGTACGACAGATGTGAACGGATTTACGAGGTTTTCGCGGCTGTACGACAGATGTGACCGGGTTTACGAGGTTTTCGCGACTGTACGACAGATGTGACCGAATTTACGAGGTTTTTGCGGCTGTACGACTGATGTGACCGGGTTTACGAGGTTTTCGCGACTGTACGACAGATGTGACCGGATTTACGAGGTTTTCGCGACTGTACGACAGATGTGACCGGATTTACGAGGTTTTTGCGGCTGTACGACAGATGTGACCGGGTTTACGAGGTTTTCGCGACTGTACGACAGACGAGACCGGATTTACGAGGTTTTCGCGACTGTACGACAGATGGGACCGGATTTACGAGGTTTTCTCGGCTGTACGACAGATGTGACCGGATTCACGAGGATTTCTCGGATGTACGACAGATGTGACCGGAGTTAAGAGGTTTTCGCGACTGTACGACAGATGTGACCGGATTTACGAGGGTTTCGCGACTGTACGACAGATGTGACCGGATCTCCGAGGTTTTCGCGACTGTACGACAGATGTGACCGGATCTACGAGGTTTTCGCGACTGTACGACAGATGTGACCGGATTCACGAGGATTTCTCGGCTGTACGACAGATGTGACCGGAGTTAAGAGGTTTTCGCGACTGCACGACAAATGTTACAGAACAGAAGTGATAATATGAACCGTTTTCTTTTGTGCTTACAATAACATTGAACGTATTAACGAAATACCCCCTCACCGAGCCTATGGTTGTGTAGTGTTCTATTTTCTCTAGCAAAGAGAATTGGATTCACGTGATTTTCCCAAAACTAGGATTGTATATATAGAATTCTTCAGTTAATGTGCTCTGTAAACTGTCGTAGTGGTCTGGAATTTTGGAGGCATTTAAAATACAAGTTAGTGATCGAGGTTCCTCGGAGCTGATCGAGCACGGGTTTCTAACCAGATCTATAAGCGTAGAATGAGTGGTGTAACGGCAGTAATATATTACCGTTCTAATCCGTAAACCCGAGTCGGTGTGAACCCCGTACTACATTGCGTCAGAGAGGAAAACATACCAATCACCTCCTCATTGATGGGACACTAGTTAAGGTAAGTACAGCAATATGTCATTATCTCTCATGTTTGTCGGATGTTAGGCGTCAAATACTTCTGGAGAAACAACAAATTTAAGATAACTAAGGTGGGCTGAAGTCCTCTTGCGACGTAACTTCCTCGAGAAATCCATTCGTGTTTAAGTGTCCATGCCCGGTTTACAAAGACTTCCAAGGTGCTAGCAACCAGAAGGCAAATTAGTGTACACAGCATACAACCACAAGCTACTAGCTAGCTACAACGATGTCATCTGAGCGAAACTGAGCGAAGGTGAAGGAACCGTTAAGTTAATTATATTACTATTGTCACTTTTATTATGTTTTTGTTAAAGTTCTTTTCAAGAGAACTTTTCCATAAAAATCACGTTTTGATACATTTTACAGAGGTATAGTAAAAAAAGAAGGAAAAACAGAAAGAAAAAATAAAGTAGAAAAGGAAAGGTATCGAACTCAGGACCTTAACGTTGCAAAGGCTACACTTTACCAGAATAGCCACACCGGAATTATAAATCTGAAGCATAGAAATGAATGTCCAATTTCTAGGCCGCAAAGTATATGGATATCCCGACAGGGGAAGTTAGTCTTAGACAGAAATAAACAGTTGTTGATGCTCCATCTTCTACATAGAAGAGTCAATACTGCAATAATAAAAAGTAAAAGAAAAAGAATCTGGCTGGAATTCTTCATCGCGTTTTTTACTGATGCAGTGAAACCTCGAACAACTGTAGACAGTCTTTCGTTCTTACATTCATTTCCGAAGTTTCATATTGTTTTTTTCCCTCAAATTATTGAAATGTTTTGAGTCCAGAGATCCTTTCCAGACATGAATTCAAATCAATTCATTCTTATAATAGATTTAAGGTTATAAGTTTAATCATAATGACAACTTCATATTTCATAAATCACATAAACTGTAATTGCAATACGTTTCATCACTCCAATAACTACTATAACTTTCATCACTCCCATAACTGCAATACGCTTCATCCCTCTCATAACTGCAATACGCTTCATCACTCCCATAACTGCAATACGCTTCATCACTCCCATAACTGCGATACGCTCCATCACTAACATAACTGCAATACGTTTCATCACTAACATAACTGCTATAGATTTCATCACTACAACATCACTCCCATAACCACTATAGATTTCATGACTCCCATAACTGCTATAGGTTTCATCACTCCCATAACTACTATAGGTTTCATCACTCCCATAACTACTATAGGTTTCATCACTCCCATAACTACTATCGGTTCCATCACTCCCATAACTACTATAGTTTCCATCACTCCCATAACTACTATAGTTTCCATCACTCCCATAACCACTATTGTTTTCATCACTCCCATTACTACTTTATTTTTCATCACTCCCATAACTACTATATGTTCCATCACTCCCATAACTACTATATGTTCCATCACTCCCATACTACTATAGGTTCCATCACTCCCATAACCACTATAGTTTTCATCACGCCCATAACCACTATAGCTTTCATCACTCCCAGAACTACTATAGGTTCCATCACTCCAATAACCACTATAGGTTCCATCACTCCCATAACCACTATAGTTTTCATCACGCCCATAACCACTATAGCTTTCATCACTCCCAGAACTACTATAGGTTCCATCACTCCAATAACCACTATAGGTTCCATCACTCCCATAACCACTATAGTTTTCATCACGCCCATAACCACTATAGCTTTCATCACTCCCAGAACTACTATAGGTTCCATCACTCCAATAACTACTATAGGTTCCATGACTCCCATAACTACTATAGGTTCCATCCCTCCCATAACTACTATAGGTTCCATCACTTCCATAACTACTATAGGTTCCATCACTCCCATAACCACTATAGGATTCATCACTCCCATAACTACTATAGATTTCATCACTCCCATAACTACTATATTTTTCATCACTCCCATAACTACTAAAGTTTTCATCACTCCCATAACTACTATAGTTTTAATCACTCTCATAACTGCTAAAGGTTCCATCACTCCAATAACTACTATAGGTTCCATCACTCCCATAACCACTATAGATTCCATCACTCCCATAACTACTATATGTTCCATCACTCCCATAACTACTATAGATTTTATCACTCCCATAACTACTATAGATTTCATCACTCCCATAACTACTATAGTTTCCATCACTCCCATAACCACTATTGTTTTCATCACTCCCATTACTACTTTATTTTTCATCACTCCCATAACTACTATAGGTTTCATCACTCCCATAACTACTTTATTTTCCATCACTCCCATAACTACTATAGTTTCCATCACTCCCATAACCACTATTGTTTTCATCACTCCCATTACTACTTTATTTTTCATCACTCCCATAACTACTAAAGTTTTCATCACTCCCATAACTACTATAGATTTTATCACTCCCATAACTACTATAGATTTCATCACTACAACATCCCTCCCATAACCACTATAGATTTCATGACTCCCATAACTGCTATAGGTTTCATCACTCCCATAACTACTTTATTTTCCATCACTCCCATAACTACTATAGTTTCCATCACTCCCATAACCACTATTGTTTTCATCACTCCCATTACTACTTTATTTTTCATCACTCCCATAACTACTATAGCTTTCATCACTCCTATAACTACTATAGATTTCATCACTCCCATAACTACTATATTTTTCATCACTCCCATAACTACTAAAGTTTTCATCACTCCCATAACTACTATAGCTTTCATCACTCCTATAACTACTATAGATTCCATCACTCCCATAACTACTCTAGTTTTCATCACTCTCATAACTGCTAAAGGATCCATCACTCCCATAACTACTATAGGTTCTATCACTCCCATAACCACTATAGTTTTCATCACGCCCATAACCACTATAGCTTTCATCACTCCCAGAACTACTATAGGTTCCATCACTCCAATAACCACTATAGGTTCCATCACTCCCATAACCACTATAGTTTTCATCACGCCCATAACCACTATAGCTTTCATCACTCCCAGAACTACTATAGGTTCCATCACTCCAATAACTACTATAGGTTCCATGACTCCCATAACTACTATAGGTTCCATCCCCCCCATAACTACTATAGGTTCCATCACTTCCATAACTACTATAGGTTCCATCACTCCAATAACTACTATAGGTTCCATGACTCCCATAACTACTATAGGTTCCATCACTTCCATAACTACTATAGGTTCCATCACTCCTATAACTACTATAGGTTCCATCACTCACATAACTACTATAGGTTGCATCTCTCTCATAACTGCTATAGGTTTCATCACTCCCATAACTACTTTATTTTTCATCACTCCCATAACTACTATAGATTTTATCACTCCCATAACTACTATAGATTTCATCACTCCCATAACTACTATATTTTTCATCACTCCCATAACTACTAAAGTTTTCATCACTCCCATAACTACTATATTTTTCATCACTCCCATAACTACTATATTTTTCATCACTCCCATAACTACTATAGGTTCCATCACTCCCATAACCACTATAGTTTTCATCACTCCCATAACTACTTTATTTTTCATCACTCCCATAACTACTATAGTTTTCATCACTCCCATAACTACTATAGTTTTCATCACTCCTATAACTACTATAGATTTCATCACTCCCATAACTACTATAGTTTTCATCACTCCCATAACTACTATATGTTCCATCACTCCCATAACTACTATAGGTTCCATCACTCCCATAACTACTATAGTTTTCATCACTCCCATAACTACTATAGTTTTCATCACTCCCATAACTACTATAGTTTTCATCACTCCCATAACTACTATATATTTCATCACTCCCATAACTACTATAGTTTTCATCACTCCCATAACTACTATATGTTCCATCACTCCTACAACTACCATATGTTCTATCACTCCCACCGAAGCAGCATCATACCACGCCGCCTTTTTCACTTTCATCCAACATCCAGGTCATGATAGTCAATAATAGTTTGTAATAATTATTGTGAGTACAACATGCATACTCCTTTAAGATCCTCGGTCGTAATTCAGAATCAATTCACAATGGGATGGCTATAAATAGATAATCTACTATCATGATACATGATACAATATTTCAGCGTTTTTATAAAGATGATTCACCAGTGTGGTATAATTAACATTCGTGTATACAATTCCAATTCTGTGAATGTTAAAGTTAGCAGATACACGTTAATGAAGAAAAAAGAACCAGGTCTCCGTATATAGAATACTTGCTATCTGTCATAACCTTCATCATCCATGTAATACATTATCAAATTTATTGACGATTCGTGGAATACGGCGGCGTTCTTAAGTATGGTTTATAAAAGAAACTAGTTGAAATATACGGTATGAAATACTGAAGTATCGAATTGCCAAAAAGGAGATAATTACGAAGGTGTGGAGAAGATATCCCATGCCCTATTATTCTACAAATGTCATTTACAAATCAAGCGCTATTCAACTTGACTGAATTAGTTTGAAACTTTGATTGACGAAGGTTTTAAATCTCCAAGGTCGAGTATTTACACCTAATAATTGACTCGGGAGCGAACATTGCGACCTACTCGTGGAAGTATTGTGTACGTCCATAGAGAACGTGTTCAATGTTCCTACAACACTATGAGATACTAGTGGGGCGACACCGGAAGGGGTGTCACAGATGGAATGAAGTGTAGAGGGCAATAACTCTGTTTAAACACGGGTGAAACAGCTATTCAACAAGAAATTGTTTGAGTGTTTTAACAAATTTGACCCCTTTGACCTTTAAGGGTTAAGGACATTTCCTTTTGCAAAATTTGTCTGGTATAATGCTGCTGTAATGGCAAAGAAAAAGAAATGGACAAAATTTACCTTCGGACCAGGTGAACTAACAAGAGTAGCGTAGGGCGGTACAATATACGCCTGTCGAATGCCATATAGTGTTATATATTAACTTGCATTAAAATAAGATTTGCATCACCTTAAGAGTGGCTAGCTAGCTATATATAGCATGCTATAAATCTCACCTTTCACTACAAAGTCAATGTTCGATTTTCTTTAATTTTCTAACAGTTTGAGGAAAACAAGTAATCAAAAGATTAGTCTCCAACTCATTATATTAACACAACTTGATATCATGATTATGAAGCCTACCAAGTTTCGAATAAATCGATAGAAAACTGTAGATCTCCGGACAAGATTCAAGTACTAGAAATAAACAAAGGGCAATAACTTCTGCAAAAATAGTCGAATCAAATTTTTGTTCAAAGAAACATAACTATATATCATGACTATAACGATTTCCAAGTTTCAAAGAAATCGGTCGTAAAATGTAGGAGGAGATCGGCGGATAAAATCAAATACTGAAATAAACGAAGGGCAATAACTTTTACAAAAATTGTCAAATCAAAAATCTTTTCAGGGAAACAACATGTTATGATAATAATAAAGCCTAACAAGTTTCAAAGAATTCGATCAAAAATTGTAGGAG